CCCCAAAACCCCAAAACCCCTTGCAGTAAAATAAGATCAGAGGATTCAAGAATAAATTTATTGAAATATATTTAGAATTAGAGGACCATTATTAAATTTATTCCACCGAAAAACCACAAGTATAATAATCCAAATTATTTGAAGTTAGCTTCAGTTTGCTATTTAAGATTTTTTCCTTGAAATAGTCTCAGCATGAGATTCTCCGACTGATTGAGTTTTTTCGACATTAAGTGATTTTTTCTGGCTATCTAGCATAGAACCAATATAGGATCCTTTGCGAAGTCTGATATCTGTACCTCTTAAGGTCATTTTTTCAAGGTCTCTTGGCTTAGGTTTGAAAGTAAAGAACAAAGTTGTAATGTTAAACAGTACTCCTAAACTACCGATTACAATATTGAAAATAAGATAGGCGTTCTTCCCGTAAATCCATGCTTCGATGATTTAAAATACGAAAGCACCAATAGCTTATCCTAAGTTATCTATTGAATATGGTCTAGAGTTATTATCAAATTCGAATCCAAGCATTTCAGAGGTATGAGTGACATTAGCACTATCAGTAAATCCCCAAACAAAAGTCATTAGGAAAGCTAGCCAAGAGTATTCATAGATCAATATATATATTATGGCAATAGCTGTTTGTATTATTATCATTACAATATTGGCAAATGTTGTCCATCTGTTTCCATATCTATCAATTATTTGGCCTATAAATAGACCACCAACCATCTCACCCACTCCTAAGGAAACCATGGCGAACAAGGATTTCATTAACTTATCTTGATCATCATCTCCAGGAATTGTATCTGTGATGATTGGAACTAGAAGACCTGTATATACAGCCAAACTTATTCCAGTCCAGAAAACTTGTGGGAGTAGAATCATCATTCTATTTGAAAACATCAATTTAATGATAGCTTTTACTTCCTCCCAAAGAGGTAGTGAGTCATAATTATCACCATCATCTACAAAGGTATTTCCAGAATTTGGCTGATTCTATTAATCGTCTGATCTTATTAACAGAGAATAGGCTTGAGAATGTGTCTCATTGGGGTCAGCTGCTCTTATCCTAGCTTGAAGCTTTGGTTTTCCAAGAGTTGCAAATATTATTATTGAGCTTGAAGATATCCCTGCCATGATCAAGTAGAAAGAGGATTATTTGAAATATTTGAGAACAAATGCAGCAATCAAATTGCCAAAGACTTGAGAGGACATGTAGTATGTCCAGAAGTAACTAAAGTAGAATCCTTTAGTTTTTTCTGTAGCACAATCTGAGATATATTTCCCTTGGGCCACCCACTGAACTGCATCTCCAAAACCATCAAGAACAGATGCGAATAAGGAAATAAAGTAAATGAATCCCTTTGAATAGAAGAAAGAATCAGAGTCTGGGTTCTCCGCTTGTAATGCAGGCGGGAGAGAACAAAGGATCCATAGAGTGTCGCAAAAGCTTCCGAGCATTAAACTCTTCTTCACTCCGATTTTCCCCATAATTGCAGTGGCGATTAAGCAACCGAAACCGAGAGTCAGATACAAGAGCGCTAGAGAGAAGTATCCCAATTAATCATAGTCATCATTTGACATTGCTTAGCTTTGCGCATTTTGAACCGAATTCGACGCTATTGATAGTACTAGAAATCCCATCGAGCAGTGGGTGGCTTTCCCCAAATTAAGATAATGCTGCTAGTTATTCACTTTCGGGTGATAAGTATTTTAAAGTTCGGTAAATATATATTATATTCTCAGATAAATCCTTCCATATTATACGAAGCTGAGTCTATTTTTAAATAATTTTACAAATCTTATTAAGCATTCCAACTGATAGTGTTTATCTCATGCTATCGGGGTTTTGGGGTTTTGGGGTTTTGGGG